TTGAGACATCAATGCGCAATATACTTGACAAATACAATCGGAAAACGTACTTTGCACTTATAAGGTTTCTCGGAATCAGAATGTCGACGTTGATACTGGCGACGTAGAGCTTGCTTAGTTTTATAAGGTTTCTCGCATTTGTCGCATTTATGCGGACGCAACAATAAATGAATTATTTCATGAACAGTCAATTTCTTTTTTGCATAAAAACTTTTATTACACTTCTTAAACTAAATAGTAAACATTATTGTTACTTTGAACAATCAATACGCAATATATTTGACGAATGCAATTCAAAAACGTACTCGGCATTTATAAGATTCCTCACAAGAAGAATGAATGGGAACTTGTTGCTCCATATTTCACTTACGTTGAATAATTGTTTTGCACGTGTCACAATGATATGAACGCAATGATGAAAATGGACAGTTGTATAAATATTCAAATTGAAGTATTATACATTAAGTACATGATAAATTTAGTGAAAGATAAACAAACTGCAAGAAAAAAAAAAGAAGATTGAGGATAGACAGAAAAAAAGTGAGAAACAGAGTAAGAAAAAGATTACGTGAGAGAGAACATTAAGTATATTTCAGTGTATATACAAAGCGTTCGACAATTACCTTAAAGTCTCTCGTAGGCAGATAGAAGTAACCCTGAGTCGAAAAGTCTTGAATCAAATTGTTTTATTACATTTAATAAAAGAATAATTATTGAATAAATCAAGGTAATCAGCGCCGACCTGTAGCCGGGCGGACCTCAGTGAGCCGCGCGACTGGTGTGCGAGAGTGCTCAGCGCTAATCACTGACATGCGCTCGGCTAAAATTCGGCGCTGATTGGCGTGATTTATTCAATAAGTANTCTTTAAATAGGTACTATATATATATATAAAAAAAAATGGTTTTGGATTACTTTTTGACTTTGTCTTTCTTCTGCTACCTACTTACGAGAGATTTTAAAGTACTTGTCGAACATTTTGTACATTTTTTTTACTTTGCGCACCGTTTTCTGCTAGTTACGTCATTATTATCAATAGACTATTCTAAATACTTTTGTTTCTCGTAATTTGAGCAAATTTGTATCAATATACGTAAACATTTTAAACTGAAGAGTTATATACATACATACGTGTGGCGTTTGACGAACAGTGAGCAAGTAATCATATACGGAGAAGAACACGATGTGTATACGTAAAAGCACAATAGAAAACTAAACGGTTAGCTCGCAGATATGTTATCGCAAACAAAACGAAAACGTAAGACGTAAACATAATCTTGTCCTAGGTATAAATATAAATAGGTAGAAATGTCATTATATCGTGACTTGGTGTGTAGCGAAAGACAGATGATATGGTACATGTAAGTAACAATATGTTGAACTGACTTTGAAGAATATTTGCAAAAAAAAAAGATAATACCACTTCAACTTTTTTTTTAATTCTACTTTTCCAATGCTTATTCATAATAAGTCAAATTCGGTCGGTCGTAAATCGAATTACATTTTCAATTATTGAAGTCATTGTACTCCGTTACACATCTATTCTGAATGCCATGCTACTGAAAAAGCAAATGGTTTCTCTGCAAATAGATCTCGGGCATTTGGATGGTCCAGTAAGCGAATACGATCGGACACATAAAGAAGAAGAGAAAGAAACTGAAATTTAACAAATTAATCGGTTTCCGATAGAAGAGTCGAGAGACTTGCGTTACACAAACTTGAGTTGCGAGTAAAACAAATTAGAAAAAACAAAGATGCGTACACGAAATTGAAAGTGATCTTGATAAACTCGCGTTTGCCGTTACGCACTCGTTACTTAAGTGGCGAGCGCTGCTATTTCGCACACCACATCTCGATACATCAGGTCGTGGAAGGTTGAAACGAGCTTACGCGACCTATACAACGCAAATTTATACTTGCAATTAAGTCCGCTCTTTTGTCTCGTCCGCTCTATCAGAGCTCTTGATTGCTAATTTATGAAATTCTCTTGCGGCAGTAATCAATATAACGATATCACGTTTTACTTCGGTTGTTACAATTGATATGTTTGCGATCAGCGGGTGCAGATGTCTATTTGCGTGATAACCTGTTTAGGTGGTTATGAAAAACTACTTAGCGTGCGTAGAAATTATTTTTATTAGCGCAATAAATATTTCGCGATTTTTTTCTATAATTGTTAGATTCGCACGTTGTATTTGAAATACGAAGTTTTCGTTAAAATTTTATTTAAAGTAGAGTATTGCATGACACACACACACAGGTATTTGTATAAAAATCGCTGGACAAATAATTGTTGAATACTGTTTACTTTATTTTAAGATTTAAATTTGTGAAAAAAAAAAAATATTTTTATGTTGCATCATACAATGTTATTCCGTAAAGTTTTGGATGTTATTGTCTCTTCGTCTCTTTTGTTATATAAAATTTTCTATTTGTCTTTTTTGTTACATAAAATTTTCTGATACTAAGAGATTTTGTATTTACGTGTATATTCTTGCATGCATTTTTGGATGTCGTTGAAATCAGCAAAGCTTCGTCTACATAGTGTTCCATAGTGAATTTCGAACTTTTAAAAGGAATTTAAAAGTTCTTTTTTCTTTTTTGGCTTAGATTATTACTTACCGCTTTTATAACTATAAAAGTTCTCGAATGAGACGGCGCGTATACAAAGTATGCAGGAGCGTCGCGCGCTGTGCTACTCCTTCCACTTGTCCCGATTACATTTCTTCTGTTAAAACTTCATTCTACTATGTCACACTGAATATTACATGAATAAATAAATAAAGACAGGTTGACATTAATCACCTAACTGATTTATTTGAAAAAAGTAATGATACATTGTCCGAAAGTACTGCATACATAAATAATTAATGTTAATCGTGTCTTGTTACGTTTTTATTAATTAAAAAAATAACTCAAGAACATTAAAATAAATGAGTAATTTTTATTTAAATTAATTTACTTTTTTTAAAAATAAATAAGTAGTTCTAATTTAAATTACTCTACTTTTTAAAATAAAACTACCATTAGAAGACACGATTACCATAAATTATTTCTGTATACAGTAATTTTGTACACTGTATCACTAGTTTTTTTAAATGAATAAATTAGTTNAGTAGATTTTACCTGTTCTTATTTATTTCTTCATGTGTTATCTAGTGTGACATAGTAGAATGAAGTTTTACCAGAAGCAATGAAATCAGGACAAGTGTAAACAGTAGCACAGCGCGCGACGCTCCTGCATACTTTGTATACGCGCTGTATTCCATTAAAGAACTTTAATTGTTAGAAACTCGGAAAATAAATAAAAATTTAAAAATGACAAATGAATTTTTTGTTCAAAATGTTACTTTCTTTCACTCCTTGCACAGGGTAGTAATCATTACGGGACACGTGTATATTTAGTACATAAGTTCGAATTCACTAATGTGAATTGAGTCAAATAGTCATACATATTTAGTTCGATATAATTATCATAGTAAAATTGGTACTACTTAATCCTGCAACAAATTATAACTTTTAATATATATGTGCAATTTCACAGTGTGATATCAAAATGAATGTAATAAAACTAATATATATTATAAACATATATTCCAAATGTATTATATGTGTATATAAATGTATGTATGTGTATGTATTATAGAAATATATATATATATTTGTATATATTTATATATATAATAAAATACATAATGTAAAAAGAAACACTCGCATTATGATATTAGTACATATATTACATGTNTGTACATACATTACATATACATATACATATATTATACCTATTATGAATATTATTGAAAACTAAATAGAAAGTTTAGGCCAAGGAGAGCATATAAACATGGTTAATGTACGGTTGATTATTTAGTCTTTTATTAACATTATTTTTGATTGACGTTCCGACTGTCGTATTCGATCTTTTTCAACATCCTTATATAATAACAAATTACTGGTATTAATTATGGTCAATTCTGTTTTTTAAAAGCAAGATCTTGGTCAGTTGTTACTTTCAGTCAATGCAACGAGGATTCTGTTCTTACAAAGTGATAACAACAACTTATTGTGATAAGAGCAACTGATTCTTGTTGCTGTTATCACTTGGTAAAGACAAGATCGTCATGGCGTTGAATTAAATTACCAACTGACCATGGTCTTGCTTTTAAAAAACAGAACTGACTATACGTGATCTCAGCTATTTGTTATTATATAAGGATTTTGAAAAAGACCGAATACGACGGTCGAAACGTCAAGGACGAATAATGGAAATATACTAATAAATTATTACATAATCAACAATACATCAACCGTGTTTATAAGCTCTCATTAGTTGATATTCTCTAATTATTTTTGAAATTTGGAGCATCACATACTTTATTCAGATTTGTTACTGAAAACCTTACTGGAACTTTTATACCTTTCCTTCTCTTTGCTAATTGTTTTTTTCATGATACATATTGTTTGTCAAAAAGTACTTTTTTTTTAAACTATTTTTGCATATATTACATGTGTAGTAAAAACAAATTTTACGTTTATTTGATGTATTTGTGACTTGAAAAAAGTACCTCACACCTTAAAAGGAATAATACATATTATCTTCACTTTAAGAAATTAGTGCAGTATATTTTATTACTACATTTGAAAAACGTACTTGTCACTTATAAGGTTACTTAAGATGATGTTTAATATGGCGTTTTAGATGTGCCTTAGTTGTAAAAGCTGTATCGCATATGTCACATTTGTACGGACGTAACGATGAATGAACTGCTTCATGTCTAGTTACTTCATGTTTTGTGTAAAAACGGGTATCACATACCTTAAAAAGAATAAGACACATTGTCATTTTGAGAAGGCAATACGCAATATATTTGACAAATACAATCAAAAAACGTACTTTGCACTTATAGTTTTTCTCAGAATTCGAATGTCGACGTTTATAATGGCGTCTTAGATTTTTTTCATATTTATAATTGTTATCGCATTTGTTGCATTTATACGGACGCAACGATGAATGAACTGCTTCATGATTAGTTAAATATTGTTTTGTACTAAAACGTTTATCACATACCTAAAAAAAAATAAGACACATTGTCATTTTGAGAAGGCAATACGCAATATATTTGACAAATACAATCGGAAAACGTACTTTGCACTTATAAGGTTTCTCGAAATCAGAATGTCGACGTTTATAATGGCATCTTAGATTTTTTTCATATTTATACTTGTTATCGCATTTGTTGCATTTATACGGACGTAACGATGAATGAACTGCTTCATGGTTAGTTAAATATTGTTTTGTACTAAAACGTTTATCACATACCTTAAAAAAAATAAGACACATTGTCATTTTGAGAAGGCAATACGCAATATATTTGACAAATACAATCGGAAAACGTACTTTGCACTTATAAGGTTTTTCGGAATCAGAATGTTGACGTTGATAATGGCGACTTAGAGTTTGCTTAGTTTTAAAAGTTTTCTCGCATTTGTCGCATTCATACGGACGCAACGATGAATGAACTGCTTCATGGTTAGTTACTTCGAATTTTGTAGTAAAACGTTTATCACATACCTAAAAAAGAATAATACACATTGTCACTTTGAGACATCAATGCGCAATATACTTGACAAATACAATCGGAAAACGTACTTTGCANTATACCTATTATGAATATTATTGAAAACTAAATAGAAAGTTTAGGCCAAGGAGAGCATATAAACATGGTTAATGTACGGTTGATTATTTAGTCTTTTATTAACATTATTTTTGATTGACGTTCCGACTGTCGTATTCGATCTTTTTCAACATCCTTATATAATAACAAATTACTGGTATTAATTATGGTCAATTCTGTTTTTTAAAAGCAAGATCTTGGTCAGTTGTTACTTTCAGTCAATGCAACGAGGATTCTGTTCTTACAAAGTGATAACAACAACTTATTGTGATAAGAGCAACTGATTCTTGTTGCTGTTATCACTTGGTAAAGACAAGATCGTCATGGCGTTGAATTAAATTACCAACTGACCATGGTCTTGCTTTTAAAAAACAGAACTGACTATACGTGATCTCAGCTATTTGTTATTATATAAGGATTTTGAAAAAGACCGAATACGACGGTCGAAACGTCAAGGACGAATAATGGAAATATACTAATAAATTATTACATAATCAACAATACATCAACCGTGTTTATAAGCTCTCATTAGTTGATATTCTCTAATTATTTTTGAAATTTGGAGCATCACATACTTTATTCAGATTTGTTACTGAAAACCTTACTGGAACTTTTATACCTTTCCTTCTCTTTGCTAATTGTTTTTTTCATGATACATATTGTTTGTCAAAAAGTACTTTTTTTTTAAACTATTTTTGCATATATTACATGTGTAGTAAAAACAAATTTTACGTTTATTTGATGTATTTGTGACTTGAAAAAAGTACCTCACACCTTAAAAGGAATAATACATATTATCTTCACTTTAAGAAATTAGTGCAGTATATTTTATTACTACATTTGAAAAACGTACTTGTCACTTATAAGGTTACTTAAGATGATGTTTAATATGGCGTTTTAGATGTGCCTTAGTTGTAAAAGCTGTATCGCATATGTCACATTTGTACGGACGTAACGATGAATGAACTGCTTCATGTCTAGTTACTTCATGTTTTGTGTAAAAACGGGTATCACATACCTTAAAAAGAATAAGACACATTGTCATTTTGAGAAGGCAATACGCAATATATTTGACAAATACAATCAAAAAACGTACTTTGCACTTATAGTTTTTCTCAGAATTCGAATGTCGACGTTTATAATGGCGTCTTAGATTTTTTTCATATTTATAATTGTTATCGCATTTGTTGCATTTATACGGACGCAACGATGAATGAACTGCTTCATGATTAGTTAAATATTGTTTTGTACTAAAACGTTTATCACATACCTAAAAAAAAATAAGACACATTGTCATTTTGAGAAGGCAATACGCAATATATTTGACAAATACAATCGGAAAACGTACTTTGCACTTATAAGGTTTCTCGAAATCAGAATGTCGACGTTTATAATGGCATCTTAGATTTTTTTCATATTTATACTTGTTATCGCATTTGTTGCATTTATACGGACGTAACGATGAATGAACTGCTTCATGGTTAGTTAAATATTGTTTTGTACTAAAACGTTTATCACATACCTTAAAAAAAATAAGACACATTGTCATTTTGAGAAGGCAATACGCAATATATTTGACAAATACAATCGGAAAACGTACTTTGCACTTATAAGGTTTTTCGGAATCAGAATGTTGACGTTGATAATGGCGACTTAGAGTTTGCTTAGTTTTAAAAGTTTTCTCGCATTTGTCGCATTCATACGGACGCAACGATGAATGAACTGCTTCATGGTTAGTTACTTCGAATTTTGTAGTAAAACGTTTATCACATACCTAAAAAAGAATAATACACATTGTCACTTTGAGACATCAATGCGCAATATACTTGACAAATACAATCGGAAAACGTACTTTGCACTTATAAGGTTTCTCGGAATCAGAATGTCGACGTTGATAATGGCGACTTAAAGCTTGCTTAGTTTTATAAGTTTTCTCGCATTTGTCGCATTTATGCGGACGCAACAATAAATGAATTATTTCATGAACAGTCAATTTCTTTTTTGCATAAAAACTTTTATTACACCCCTTAAACTAAATAGTAAACATTATTGTTACTTTGAACAATCAATACGCAATATATTTGACGAATGCAACTTAAAAACGTACTCGGCATTTATAAGGTTCCACACAAGAAGAATGAATGGGAACTTGTTGCTCCATATTTCACTTACGTTGAAAAATTGTTTTGCACGTGTCACAATGATATGAACGCAATGATGAAAATGAACAATTGTATAAATATTTAAATTAGATTATTATACATTAGATACATGATAAATTTAATGAAAGATAAACAGACTGCAAGAAAAAAAAAGAAGATTGAGGATAGACAGAAAAAAAGTGAGAAACAGAGTAAGAAAGATATTACGTGAGAGAGGACATTAAGTATATTTTAGTGTATATACAAAGCGTTCGACAATTACCTTAAAGTCTCTCGTAGGCAGATAGAAGTAACCCTGAATCGAAAAGTCTTGAATCAAATTGTTTTCTTACATTTAATAAAAGAATAATTATTGAATAAATCAAGGTAATCAGCGCCGACCTGTAGCCGGGCGGACCTCAGTGAGCCGCGCGACTGGTGTGCGAGAGTGCTCAGCGCTAATCACTGACATGCGCTCGGCTAAAATTCGGCGCTGATTGGCGTAATTTATTCAATAAGTACTCTTTAAATAGGTACTATATATATATGTAAGAAAAAAAATGGTTTAGGATTACTTTTTGACTTTGTCTTTCTTTTGCTACCTACTTACGAGAGATTTTAAAGTACTTGTCGAACATTTTGTACATTTTGTTTACTTTGCGCACCGTTTTCTGCTAGTTACGTTAATATTATCAATAGACTATTCTAAATTCTTTTGTTTCTCGTAATCTGAGCAAATTTGTATCAATATACGTAAACATTTTAAACTGAAGAGTTATATACATACATACGTGTGGCGTTTGACAAACAGTGAGCAAGTAATCATATACGAAGAAGATTTCTATGAAGAACACGATGTGTATACGTAAGAGCACAATAGAAAACTAAACGTTTAGCTCGCAGATATGTTATCGCAAACGGAACGAAAACCTAAGACGTAAACACAATCTCGTCCTAGGTATAAATATAAATAGGTAGAAATGTCATTATATCGTGATTTGGTGTGTAGCGAAAGACAGATGATATGGTACATGTAAGTAACGATATGTTAAAGTGACTTCGAAGATTATTTGAAAAAAAAAAAAATAATAACACCTCAACTTTTTTTTTACTTCTACTTTTGCAATGCTTATTATTAAAAAGTCAACGTCAGTCGGTCGTAAATCGAATTTTATTTTCAATTATTGAAATCATTGTACTTCGTTACACATCGAATCTGAATGCGATGTTAATAAAAAAGCAAATGGTTTTTCTGCAAATTGATCCTGAGCATTTGGATGGTCCAGTAAGCGAATACGATCGGACATTTAAAGAAGAATAGAAAAAAACTGAAACCTAACAGGTTTATCGGTTTACGATAGGAAAGTCGGGAGACTCGCTTTAAACAATTCTGAGTTGCGATTAAAACAAAGATAGTCATAAGACTCAATATAAGACGGTAACTCTTCAAAAAAATATCCTTTGTTAAACAATTCCGTTAGCAACGTGCGGAGACGATCTCGTGGGGACGCGACTACGAGGATGAAAAAAATTCAGGAGCGTAATATTTTTACAACACTTACACACACTTATCTATTTATCTCTATATTTATTACTTCTTATTTATTAACAGAGAGTAAGATTTGAAACATGTCTTTTAGTTTTCCATTGTCACTCGCAAGAACGAAATATACGACAATGTGGTTTTCAAAATATCCGTCATCGTGGCTCGCGTGAGATAGAAAAATTTTCCAGCGCTAATTCGAAGTGGAATCTTCGTTCTCATCATGACAAATACCAAATCCTTCACCGTAACGGGCGACATTTCGTACCACGTGGAGTTGTATACGGCGGACAAGATTGACAGACTTTGATTCTGCAATATATCACCGGCGTATGTGTACAAAAAGATTTGCACCATGTAAAACTGAATGGCCGTTATTATTTTTAACACTCCCTTGTAATCGTGATCGTTAAACAACAGGATGACATTTATTCCTGAAAATCGCAATTGCTTGGATTACAAATATATGTTGATCTTTTTTTTTTTTGATGCTTTTCTGATGAGAGTATTTCAAACAAATTTCTCTTATCATCTCGTTATCAGACTTGTGTGATTTTTGTTGTACATTTAAAAAAAGATAATCAATTTTTGAATAATTTTGATTATGATATTGCGAGATCTTAATTAAAAAATCAATAACAACAGAGTTTGCGAAAATACGTATGCGTATATTACCTCCAGTTGCAATAACTATGTTGATTATCAAGAGCCGCAGTAAAATGTAGATGTTGAAAGCGTCCTCGATATTTCTGGCCAATACTATTAGATGACAATGTCTCTCGACCAACGGTCCCAAGATATTTCCATTTCGATGTTTGTTATCCGAGTTTTTGTCGATCTCCGTAAATTTCATTTTGAGAAGCTCGAGCTGGCCGCAGAGATGCACGGTGATGCTGAAGAAAAAGCTGTCACACGCACATTCCGCTATGAATACCACAGTTCCCTGAACTATTTGCATGGCGAACAGTAGTTCGTACGTGGAATAGGAAACTCCTTTGTACAGACACGTTGACGGAAGGACGAAGTTCCACGTGGTCGCGTTGTTGTTGCTCGCGACCTGTCCGCAAATCGCAAATCTTTCAAGATAAAATCTTTTCTAGACTATTATTGTTAAAAACTAGAGAGAAACAATTTGTTTCTGTGACGTAAAAGATTTTTGAAAGAAAAAAAAAATTGAACACCTTTCGCCTGTTGTCGAGGAAGACGGAAGCGAACCACAAGACGCTTCCCGCAGAGCCGACAGCCAATTGAGCCAATGCGACCAATCGCCCCGTACGCGCGTACGCCGTCATTGTCGCGCGCGATTCTTTCCTCATAAACGGAGACGACCAGTCGTCGATCGCGGAATTCACGTTGACCGCGAGTTTTTTCATATAAATGCGCGGAAAGATCAGATTCAGCCACGCGTGCACGCAGCTCTCAATTAGACGAAAAATCTCCAGACCGTCCCGCGCGATACCGCAGCTCCTGAACGATTCTATCAGCACGTTGAGCATTGTGAGAGACTGCGAGGTGGCAAATACACAAAATTGCATTCTCACGTGAATTAAATTGCGCTATTTGCGAAAAACGACAGTTTGAGACGAGCAACAAACGTTCAATATTTATTTATATTTGCAAAGTTTTCAATTATTTTTTCTCTATTACGCATAATGCGATCTAGAATAAATTGCTCTCTTATTTTCTTAGATTTTCTACTGAGATATTTATATGTTTGTTCAATATTTTTAATCCGATAAAAAGAAACTCCAGCAAATTCTTTTATTGTTTATAGTAATTAACAATCAAACTCGCTCTGAGCGTTCGATTTTGACTTTTATCATGACCAAAACTTTAATCAAGTAAGATTTCACTTTTTTGTTTATATTCAACAACGCAGTTACATTAAGTTGGTGTGATGAAGTTTTTTAATTACTATACTGAAGATGACTCAAGTAGGGTCGAAACGTTTATGTATTTATTAATTTTCTGCGGTTTTATAGTTTTGCGTTTTATCTTTGCGGATTAATTGATATTTTGTTAATAAAGAACTTACATCGCTCGTAAAACCAGACCTATATGTTTGATTGTTAATTACTATTTTATATTTCGAGCGTCTTTTGTTACTTTTATTGTTTTGTTAATAATGTGAATAATTTTATCGTTTGAAAACGATAAAAGACAAAACGTTCTACTATGCGTGATCTCACCCCTATCGCGAACGCCACCAGCCACTGCATCGTGTAAATTACGTTGTTTCGTTGTACGGGCCACAACCCGACTGTCCACATCATCGATCTTATCGCGAAAAAGCCGTAATCCATACCGCTGTCCCAATTTGTCGTCGAAGTTGTCATGTTCGGCGATGGTTAATTTCGATCTCGAAACAAAAAAAAAAAAGACAAATTGTGATCGTGCGTGACTGCTGCAATTGCTGACCGCGGCCGGTTCGATGACTTACTTTCGAGACGAATTGCGCCGTTTCTCAATCCCACCTCCGCGTCCCAAGACCGGCCGCGGTCTTCGGGGTAGTAAGATAAGTGACATGGAAAATTTGCATCTCTCTCTCGATCGCGCATCTTTCGATAATGTGCGCGCAAGTTCAACGCGCGATGCCACATTATGGCTCTCGCGCACACATACACTCGCGAATGAATTACGTTGCTCGATACAATGTGCTCGGTACAATACACAGTCCGTGTCTTCTTCCCCACGAGCCGCACGAGTTCTCTTCTAACCCTATCGCCGTGCAACGCGCTGTGTGGCCGTCAAAGGAGAAAGGGCGAAGAGAGAAACAGAACCTGTCAGTCTGGCAATAGACGCGAACGAGTTGAAAGGTGCCGTGTGCGAGTGCTTGCGAGAGAGAAATTTCTACCCGATGTATATAAATCTGGATCCGTATCTTCTTCAGGTAATTTAAACGTTAAAGATAAAAAAACGATCGAATCGATTCCGTCTAGCTCTAAGATATTCCCGTTTCGCTAAAGTCGCAATATCTCTGCGGGAGTCACGCGACAAGCGTACGTTAAAAAATATATTTTAATAAGTCATATATATATATATATATGTCTGCCATGTTACACGACGCGTCAAATTTTTTAACAACATTCCTCGTAAAACATTTGTATTAATTCTCGCTATATGAAAAATATACAGGGATCTGTCGATTAATCTCCCAGAGCTATTCGCAAAACCGATATGTACGAAACCGTTCGTCTGAGTAAGAAAACTATCGTCTCGCGATTGGTGTAGAACAATTTCCCGCCGGTCAGACGAAACGGATTACTCGACCTCATCATCGCGAAGCGCAGATCCTTCATCAACGTCGCCGGAAGAGTGAACCAGGAATTCTTAAACATGGCGTGAAATATATCCTCGCTTCCAGCTTGAACGAATTCACCCCCGTACGAGTACATCATCGATTGAAGAAAACAAAAATTCATAACCAGAATGCTCTTCGTTAGTTCGAAGTAATTGTTGGTTCTTATGCAAAACTCTATGCGTAAACCTGAAAGAAAATTCAATTTTAAGTGCGCGGATTTAACAAGTGCGCGCAAGTGTCTTCGCTTAAAATGTGATCAAAAATCTCTTAATTTTTAAATTTCTACACTGAAAAAATTGTATTCTTGTTTTGAGGATATATCCCACTTACTTTAAGTATATTTTATACTAAAATAGGCGCCAAGAAGAGTTTCTTACTTTAAGAAAAAAATCTTCTAAATAGTAATATTGATAAGAATATATACTGATTAGAATATAAAAAGCCTCTATAGAAAAACATATATATATCTCACTATCGAAAAAGATTATATTCTTAAATTAAGAATATATTGTTAAATAAAGAATATATTCCTAATTTCAGAAGAATATCATATAAAATCTTTAAGAA